GCTACCTGCTCCTGTCCCAAGCCTACGCGGAGTTGGGAGGACTAAGCTGGGTGGAGACAGCCTGGAGATGACCCCTCATCCCTCCGAACACCGCATCCAGCTGTGGCAACGCCAGCTGAGCCAAGAGAAGCTTCACGCCTCCTTCTCCCTCCCTGGGAAAGTGGGGTTGAGTTGGACAACTGGAAGACGGAGAACGCTCAACAGCTGCTCCGGCAACATCTGCCAAGGGTGACCTCAGCCACGCAGCCCTGCCAGACAGTTGGGCAGCGAGATGTACAGGCAGCAACGGACGTGCAAGATCTAACGCTCATCGCCGGCCAGTCCGGAGGAGAAAGGAGAAAGCCAAAGCCAAGAATTTAATTCCGCATCCCCAAGTTTTGGCCCACCAAGATCCTACAGGTCTGCAACGCCGTGACGAAGGAGAAGCCGCGATCCTCGTTGGCTTCAGCCCTGGTGTAACCTCGGCAAGGAGTGGGGCTGCGGGAAGGGAAAATTCAGTCCCCTGGTTTTAAAACGCGGGCCCAAACTGGGCGAAGCAGGAGTTAGAGCTTAAACTGCCTGCACGCGAGTTCAGCCCACAGCTAAAAAGTTGAAACTTCTAAATAATGAATTAAGGTTTGGTAACTAAAGAGTTAAAGACCTCTAAATAAGGAATTAAGGTTTCCTAGCTAAAAAGTTAGACTTCTAAATCATGGATTAACATTTCAAGGGGAAACGTGGATGACTTTGCAATCGCTTTTTAAAATTAAACAACTCCAATAATGAATTAATGTTTCAAGGTGGATGAATTTGCAGTCGCTCTTTAAAGTGAAACAATTTTAAAATAGAGGGAACTACCTATGCTTAAGAGAAGACTAATTTAGACAGACAACTTCAGAAAGACGGGCCTTTATTTTAAAAAGAATCAAAAATGGGGTTTTTTAAATCAAATCTCCTTATTCCTCTGATTTATGCTCTCTGAGGCCATCTCCTGGGCTAAAAGAAAAAGGGTAGATTTATACAGTAATGGAAATTTTCTATAAAAAACCCATGTGAGCATTTCCTAAGAGCCCTTCTGGAAGGATGCCGGCTTGTTTGTTTTTCCCAAATGTCAGGGTAACAGCAAGAGGCAAATAAGAGAGACCGAATGTACGAGAACCCTACGGCCAAAATAAATCTGGCAGCCATCTGAAGACGCCTGGTGCGCACGCGCGGGGAGCAAATGACCTTTTTTCCTACTCAGACCCCGACCTCCCCCTCGTCTAAACCTGAGCTTACTTTGATTGTGCTCAGATCCATGGGATGTTTAATGATATCGCAATAATCGTGCAGTCCCAGTGCTTCCACATCCACAGGTTTGTAGAAGGGCCAGGCGTAGGCAGCGTGTTTCTTGGCGAACATCTCTTTGATGATTCCGCTGCAGTATTTTAACTGCTCGGATATTTTGCTACTCTTTTCTACCACGTGTTGTTGAGAATCTGGAACATCCTTCTTTGGAGGCTTCACCGGGCGGCTGCTTTCCCGGCGCGGACCCAGCTTGGTGGACTTGGGTTCGGCGGGCAGCGATGACGATTCATGAATTGGGTCGATGGTTGTTGGTGTCGTGGTGTCTGCTTTCCTCTTCACCCCTTTTTTTGTCTATAACCGAGCAAATAAATCAATATTACTTTTGGCAGCATGCTTTTGACTTCAACCAAGTTGTGTTTCTTGTAGCATTGACTCGGATTCGCCATCACTAGTGACTCAAGCCTTGAGACAACGCTACGAGAAGGACATTGGAAGCCCTTCCAAAAATATTCAGATATTGTTGGTCTGTACTGAGCTCTACAGAAAAACATATGGATTATCTCTGTTGTACCAGCGAAGATCAAGGGCATGAGTCACTTCAGCAAGTCACTTTCTTCCTGAGTCATACAAAAAGCTCAAGGAAGGAATGTTTTAAGAGGATGAACGGGGTTTCCACGCAAACCTGGGTGGAATTCATCACGTCTAACTTTAACTGGTGTCAGAGGGGGTCACCGCAGGCTCCTCATGTTTCTCAAACCCTCAATTTTTTGACCAAACTGTGGCCGTTTGCCTTAAAACGAGACCCCAGCGGCAAAGCAAAGGGCGACCACTTGACCAACCATGGCGTTTCTACGCCGTGAAGATAATTTAAGCTGTCGGATTAAGATAATTAAGGAATCACTCACCTTCACGGGCTGGGCGGGTGTTGGGATAACGGGAGGGTGAGGTTGGATGGGCTGGGGAGCCGGGGCTGGCGGCGCAGGGGCCTGGGGAGCAGGGGGAGGCGGCGCAGGAGGTTGAGGAGGCACCATCGTCATTACTGGGGTCTGGACGATGAGGTCGGGGGTGACGGAAGGAAAGGAATGAGTCGTCTGCGCAGACTGGAGGTTTTGCTGCGGCGCCTGCGTCTGCGCCGGGGACGATGCTTGGGTTGCGTTCGGTACCGTGGATGATCCTGGTTTGGATGTCACTGCCAAGAGAAAAGAAAGAAAAGGTTGCTTCTCTCTTCAAACTTCATTGTTTTAACGGGAAAAACAATTAACGTTTTGTAATGACACTATTTAAAGAACATTGCTCATTAGATAATTAGTATCTTGCAGTTGCCCTTCTTGAGCAACCAGTCAGGGACAAACGCTCACCATGTTTTCCTTCACGAGGATTATTTTTATGGCTCGCTAGGTGAAATGGTGAAGAAACTCAGGACCCAACTGTGCCAAAACCCCTCCAGAAAAAGACCAAGATCAGGCCAGAGGCGTCCTCCTCTCTTCCCCTTCCCTCCACACAAGATTTCTTGCAGGCAGGGCAAGGAGATGAGGGCCTCTTTTCCTGCCTACCCTTTTTTCCTAGGCACCGGTTCTTGACTATCATCATTTTGGAGTCAAAACTGGGCAGCTCTTCCTTCAGGAGCAATTTTGTGCTCCGTTCTCAGGAAGAGTTTCTTAATTCTCGGTGATTTAAGTCATCGGAATTGCTGCTGTCCGGGGGAAATCTCTCCCGACGGCTGGAGAGGGAGGTCCTCGTTAGGGGATTTCAAACACGGAGCAACCGTAGAGGTTGGGACACGAGGTTGGAAATGTCAGCGCTGTCCTTGGACCTTCTAGTGTCCTTGGAGAAGTCACCTCCTTGCTGGAGCTGCTGCTGCTTTGCAGGGCAAAGCTCTGGCCAAGCTTCCAAGCTTTCTGGCATGGAAAAGGGGAATGCTGCAACGCTTGGGACGCTGCTGGGAACACACCACCAGCAGACCTTCAAGATGGAGGTATCAGCAAAATAAGATCAACTCCGAAGTCCGGAGAAGGTTTGGGATCAGCGGGTATTACAGAAGCACCTTCTGCCAGGTATCAAACATACTTCGTCAGCAGTAATTGGATCTTTATCTTCAGGAAGAAGAGAGCTCGGTATTTTTTAAAGCACGGGGACAACCCTTTACGGGCATCCCTAGCAGAGAGAAATCCCACCGCTCGATCCGTACCTGTGCTCACCTCCAGGCTGCAGAGACTGGATTTTGGCTGCTGTTTCACCGCGCTCTCAACGAGGAGACCCTCCCGAGCGCGACACGTTAGCTGCGTGTCCCGCCTTGCCGGCTATCCAACACCGCTTCCCAGAATCATGCCCCCAAATTAATTAACTAGAAACGAAACGCAGCCGGGTTTGCTCCCGATCAGCCCCGGGAGCTGCCGTCACTGGGACCCCACAGACAAACCTCGCGTGTTGGCAGACGCTCAACCGCGGCCGCTGGCAGCTGGTTCCTGCTAAAGACGCAACAGCAACCTCCTAAGAAGATAAAATTGGGAGTTTTCACCCCATTCTCCTTGCAAAGTGACAGCGGAGTGCGGATGTCCCTACATCAGGTGGGGACTCGTAGCCAGCGGGATCCCATGGGTCCTGCTGGGATCCCGTGGGTCCTGCTGGGATCCCTGTGGTCCTGCTGGGATACCGTGGCTCCTGCTGGGATTCTGTGGGCCCTGCTGGGATCTTGTGGTCCTGCTGGGATCCTGTCGGTGCTGCTCAGATCCCGTGGTCCTGCTGGGATCCTGTGGGTCCTGCTCGGATCCCATGGTCCTGCTCGGATCCTGCGGGTCCTGCTCGGATCCTGCGGGTCCTGCTGGGATCTTGTGGTCCTGCCGGGATCTTGGGGGTCCTGCTGGGATCCCGTGGTCCTGCTGGTCCTGCTCGGATCCCATGGTCCTGCTCGGATCCTGCGGGTCCTGCTCGGATCCTGCGGGTCCTGCTGGGATCTTGTGGTCCTGCCGGGATCTTGGGGGTCCTGCTGGGATCCCGTGGTCCTGCTGGGATCCCGTGG